CACCGGCCTCTGCAAACAGCCATCTATCTCCTGAAAGCCGTGTGTACATTCTGCCTGCCAACAGTAATACATTACTACCAGACACTGAGGTGAGTTTCCTGGAGTCCATGCATCAGTACCCTGATGGCAGGCACCATCACAGGAGTGTTGTTCCGGAGAAGGGCAGTCTTCCAATCCCAATAGTTTATAGATGGCTGCAGCCTTGGATGGACTACAGAAAGGGGCATCAGAGCTCAGCATCACTCACTAAACCCCAAAGATGTTGTGTGATACAGGCCATGAAGCAAGCAGGCAGTCAAGATGAATAGTTTCTGTTTTTAGTAAAAAAGGATTTGGAGAGAGTGTGAGTGAACCTGCCAAAAAACCACAACAAATACTGATGGAGAGGAGATTTACTTGAGTAAAATCTGGTCAGACATGATAAAGAATGAAGTTGAATGCATCTCTTGTTGGGATTTGAACTCTGTCCACGCTAAACAAAAGTTGTTCCAGTAGTCTATCCCATCTTACACTTATAGGAAGCAGTGGTTGTTTTTCCCTTTGTTCATGTCTTTTCTTGCCCAAGTCACCAAAAGTGAGACAGGACAGCAAATGGTGTCCCACAGAATAAAATAAAAAAACTCTTTGTCTACAAGTACATTTTTCTATGCTTTGGTACACATTGTACACATGCACAACAGGAATGCTTCTGAAATGTGAATACTTTTCTATATGTACTGGAGATCTAAAAAAATTATGGCCTATAACCAATAAAATATTCTATACTATTTTAGCTCAAATAAATTTCAAATAAAACATGAACCTCTAAAATGTTTTGTGGCTCTACTACCAAATGACTTATTGTAGTATTAATTTTGTCAGCCACTTTTAATTTAGTCTTATTTTAGTCCTGTGTCAAATGTACTTTTTAGTTATTATTTATCATATTAGCCAACCATGTCCTGTTTTTGTTTAGTCAAGTTTTAGTCAACTAAATGTCTGAGCATTTTAGTCTAGTTTTAGTTATTAAAAACGTTTAGTCATGCTGTATAGTGGTTAAACTGATAAAAAAAAATTTAAATTCTCAAAATTATAATCTCAAAGATTGCTCTGATTTGGGGATTTGAACTCTTGATATCTGGCAACCACACACGAAACCTCACGTAGTAGAGGCAGGTATACCGCAGTCCACAATAATACATTTGTCTCCTTTTTTTTAACGAAAATAAGACATTTTTGTATGGTTTTAATTTTTTAAAGATACATTTTAGTCTTGTCTTTTATCGTCAACAATACTGCATGTTGATATAGTCACAGTTACCATTTATTGACCTTATTGTGTTCTCGTCATCTAGTTTTATTCATAGGAAAAAAGTTTGTCTACGAACATTTTTCGTCATAGTTTTCTTTAACGAAATTAACACTAACTTGTCTGTAAAATAAGTCACTTACAGGTAAAACTTTATCCAATAAAGACCATTTAAATAGCAAATTTACAGTATAAATGAAATAAAGAAATGCAAATTTTAAATTTGTAGTTTTTGCATGGTGGATTCTAAACAGACTATTTAAGATCTGTACATGCATCTTAAAGTTGTACATAAGAAATGCAGTTTACATTTTAGAAGGGATCTAAACATTGGTATTGTACTTATGAGCGTCTATACAAAAAGTAGTAGTGCAAGTATGTCTTCAAGACATAAACTCTACATACACCCTAAAAATACTAATGAAAGTACATTGGAAAAACAGACAGAAGCAAACCATAGCCATTCTGATTCTGCATAGCTTCACTGGCTTTCATAATCTGGGGTACGGACTGAAAACTTCTAACTATTTTTATCTATACAGTAACAGACACAAGCATCAAAGCATGGCTGCCTTAACACAGACATTCCTCACTGTTTAGTCAAACTGAGACTGACTTGCTGCAGAAGCAGTTTGGAGGAGATAAAACAGCAATGCAAAGGAAGAGAGGGGTGGAGAAGATGCTGTCTGATTGACAGCAAGAGAGCAAAAAGATATGAGAGAGAGAGAACAAAACTAGGCAGCGAGAGAAACGGTGAGAGGAAGCGCCTCAGGATATTGCCTGAAACTTTCATTAGTCAAGGCAGCTTTTTCCTCAATAATAAACGCCTGCTTCATCATAATTGAGTCATGTGCTTTGGAGATCTTAATTAGAGCTGCTGTGAAGGAAACAGCGGCTAAGAGACTTTTCTGACCCTCTGACCATGTAAAGAGCTGTGAGACGATAAGCCCTCTGTTCACTTCCACTCTCGTTATTTCATTTGTTCCACATTTTCTATCACAATCTTCTCAGCATCTCAGAGCTCTTCCTTCACCATCTTTCTTTCTCTTACTCTAATCATAAGACTACAGCAAGCTGCCTCTGCTACTTGAGTTCCTTCTTTGAACCACCGCTTACAGCAGTTCTCAATGGTTTTGCTTCAAGACCTAGATTTTATGGTGAACATCAAGAGGCGACAGTACCAAAATAATACAAAAATGTCCTTAAAACCAAAAATGTTAAATTTAATATTACTATGAAAAACTATCACAGTTTACTAAGTCTTAAATTTGATGGTTTCACATTCTCAGCAGCTAATAATTCACTGTACAATTTTGTAGTCAGAACAAAATCAGTTTTAAATTTATAAGTGAATTTAGGCTTCACAACAATGTACAACATAAAAAAATGATAATGATTTAGAGATTTGCTAAAGATTATGCTTGACAGTGTTATTAAATTATATTCATTATATTAAATTATCACTTCAAGTGAACAATATTGCAGCAAATGTAAACTAAATAATAAGGGAACTAAGGGAAATGATAAATACAACAAAACAAAAAAAAACTAATATAGGCCAATTATCTAATATAGGCTGGTTATCTAATATAACCAACATGGTGCCAATATATTATGCATCCCTACTAATTTGGCTAGTTTCCAACAAGCAACAGATGAATTTATGCCAACAAACAGCCACTTTTTTCAATTCCTTTTACAATTTGTCTATTTAAAGTTTAATAAAGTCAATTTAATTTGCCATGCACAATTTAATTAGTTGAATGGTATTGTTTGTATTTACCATTGTTTTGTTCCTGCATTCAAAACAGACCTCTGACCCAATTTGGGTCATGACCCACCACTGGCTTACAACACCTCTCTCTTCTCTTACCATCTGTTTTTCCCTCTCTGACAGACAGAGGGTACTTTCTTTACCTCCCCTCCCTCACCAGCACTGACAGCTCAGAGGAATGTTACGTGGCCTCCGCCACCCCCTGGAGCTCACCTGTCCAATTCAAGGTTGGATAAACAGCCATGACCTTACTGCACACTTCACAAGACCTCAGGGATGGCGCCCTATAGTACACAGTAGTGATGCGCGGATGAGCTAAAACGTCACCCGAATCCGCAGCTTCAAATAAATTATCCACCCGCCAACCGCCCGCACCTGTATTTTTATTTATAGTCTGATTTAGATAACCGCACCCGACCCGCACCCGATCATCACATTAGGGTTCGTACGGTCATAAAAAAAATGGAAAAGTCATTGAACAGCAATTTCCAGGCCTAGAAAGTTTTGTAAAAATAAATAAACTCAAAAAGTTTTTGAAAAGTCATGAAAATCTATTTCACAATTCTCTGTATAATAGAATTATGTTTAATCAGATCTTGAATTTCGTTGCGGGATTGCGCATACATCGCATTACTCATTCCCGCAGCTTTCGACTTTAAAATGAGGGAAATTACTGCAAAACCTTTATTCAATATAGCGTGTAGGTTAGATGAGTAAATAAATCCACACAAACCATCAGATGAAAACAGCGTAAGTGATTCAGCTGTACCGGATCTCTTTGACTTTCGTTTCACATCGACGCATCTAGAGCTGCTGCACGCTGCGATAGAAGACTTTAGCTCGCGTTTCAGGACAGTTGACAGAATTGTCAATTGCCTGATCGGTCATTGTTGCATCATCACAAAAATTTATTATTTTCACGTCTTTTTAAGCCATTCGGTACCGTTCATAATTTAGAAAATGTAGTTAATACTTGCATCATTAATGATTTATTTTATCCACCCGCGACCCACCCGCAAATGCATTTTTTTATTACCCGACCCACCCAATCCGCGGATTATCCGCAGCGCCCGCGGATATAACCGCCATCCGCGCATCACTAGTACACAGCCATTTACTTGCAACCTAAATTTCACCGTATTTTAATTATCTAGTGAAGGTTGTTCCTTCATCGAAACCGATTTGGAGAAATTTAGCATTACATCACTTGCACACCATTGGATCCTCTGCAGTGAATGGGTGCCGTCAGAATAAGAGTCCAAA